AATGAAAGTAGTGTGTGTTGAAACTTAATTATGGTGAAACCCGTGACCAGGAAGAAAGAATAATTACTATAAATAGCTATTCGGACTCAGAAACTATTAAAAACACCCCGATGACGAACCGGTTACACACACACACACTGCACCGCGTAAACACCACACCATCCGGTATCCTCTTGACCACGGGAGGTCCTTAATATCAACACTCGAGGACGAGTTACTACACCACGTGAACACCACACCACCCGATGTGTCCAGGCCCGGGCCATCAACTGTAAACTATAATAATGTCTATGTTCAGTTCATGTTCCTTCTTCTTTCAGTCATGAAAGCTTTTGTTAAACGACCCACCCACCCCATGTCTTTGTATGTAATAAGTCATTTTTGTCCAATGTATATTTTCAGCCTTCGGGCTGCAGAACTTTTTCAATAAACCGTTAATTATTATTATTATTATTATTATTATTATTATTATTATTATTATTATTATTATTATTATTATTATACATACACACACACTGGAACGAAGAAGATAGAGAAGAGAAACGAAACTCCGGGAGGGAAGTTGGATAACAATGGAGAGTAAAGAGGAAATGATAGAACGGAAGTGTAAGGGAGGGTGTGAAGCAGAGAACAAAATTTAGATGTGGAGAGAGAGAGGGTGTGAGGAAGGAATAAAGTATGAGAAAGGTAAGGAGGGTGGGGATAATATTGAGGGATCCGTCGATCTAAAAATTGAAGCAGAATATTACCCATATTCAGATCATCGACTTGAATCTAGGATCAGGTAATCTGTTGCATTTTCTTCAATTTCGAACAAAGACTCGAATACTGAAATTATAGCCAACCACGTCTCATTTACACCATTACAACAACCAATCACCATCGAGAGCAATGTTTACAAGATTATGGTGGCAGATACGACACGGAAAGTATTTTTGGTGGTGTAGACATCTCTCATTGTTAGTTAAGTAGTCGAAAACATTGTCATTAATTCAGAAAAGTAGATGCTGCATCGATCATGCGAGACCCAAAGCAAAGAAGTATATTGACGGTGAGTTTTTTAAATGTTATTAACATTTTACCCTTAAGCTATCTATAAAATAGTCATATTCATAATGTTGCGAGCGACAGTTGGTGGTAAAAGCTAAGACATTTAATCATACCGTGTCATAGTCTTATCCTTAATTAAATATAAAGGTAATAGTTAATTACCTTTATATTTAAGTAAGGATAAGACTATGACACAGATTGGTTAAAGGTCTTAGCTATTATGAATTAAGTACATGAATGTATTTTGAATATATTTCACAAGCTGTAAGGACCTGTTGACATTAGTAGCATATCTTCAGTTCGATAATTACAGTACTAACAAATTCAGATTATGGGTCATAGTCATACATCAATATTTTTTATAAGTAACTACAGTTATAATTGGGTAAAGTATTAGTAAATAATATGCACACGTATGGATGTTATAGATGAAAAGAGGCTTAGAATGGTGAGAATGATACAAAAATACATTGGATAAAAGGGAAATATTGACAAGTTATATATTTAAACAATTGATGTAAAAAAAATGGAGATGCTCCACACCACAGAAAATATTGAGAGCATATACAGTACTGTACCTAGCTGAACTGACTGTGTTGTCTGAATTACTTGTCATCATAAATGTTAATACGATTTTGCCTATCAACCATCAGTTTTCTCTCTACAAACACGTCAACTTGACAAAATCGTCGAAAAGCACGCTCTCTTGTCAAAGTTCAAGCTGATTTCTGCTATTTTAGATGAACGCTAAGCCTGCCTCGGAACTGGATGAGAGCGAGGATTGACAAATTTGACTTCAAACCTGGTGTAAATTTGAGTGCCAGATCAAGCCAGTGTCCGGAATACCGTACCATCATTCTTCAATCATAAAGCGATCGTTGGTGTAAACTTACACCTTTGATCAAACCGCTATTACACGATGCGACAAATCGTGGGTGGTGTCCCTGCGACACAAGATTTGAGTCGCGAGGGGGCAGAAAACATGGTCATTCGGCAACCCACCAATGTTGGATATATGTTGGGCGCCACCGCTCGTGTCGCGCATCACGGCTGCCCCAGTACACAACATTCTATCAAGCGACGAAGGTACAGTATATCAGCATTCATGTCTCAGCCTACACAGCTTCAGGGGCGTCGAGGGGGCTTTATGCAGTTATATAAATTTATAAAGAGAATAATTACCTTTGGCAAGTGAAAAATATAAAGTATAGACAGAAACACTAGACTTCAACTAGAGGAACTGCAGTCTTGAGCAAGAGCAGCGTGGTGCGAGAAATAAAAGCGTTGCTTCAAGTCGAGCTCCAGGTGAAATATTTTCACTCACCACTGTATTTCCACGTTCAATCAGAGGCCTTATTTTTCTTCATAAATTATGAAAGACATTGACTGGTAGTTTCAAAAAGTTTTCAAAGTCTAATCTACTTCTGCTGCTAGTTCACTGAATATATGTTCATAACTTCCCCTTGTTCGTCTATGAAGCAGCCACTGTTTGTACCACACTCGTCTTTTTTCTTTAACTTCTTCCTTTTTAAGGCGCATGCCAACACAAAAGCCCAGAGACCGGTGGCAGTGCGACTCATCCTCGAGGAAGCCTAGCGTCTACTAAACCTTGGTGTTGTGTTGTGTAAACAGATGGTTTAACGCGCGCTTTTTCACCCCTATGCCTCATCACCCTGGAACAAGTCGCATCGTGTAAACGGGGCTTTTCAATGAGTGGTGGGTAGGAAATACCAATCACTTAATCAAAATGGCATTCTCACATCTGAGGGTGGCGAGCACAGTCCTCTACTCTAAACGTTATCCGGCTGCTTTCATTGATTTTCTTGGTATTTTAACACTCTCTGGAGACACGTTTTTAAGATTAATTAGTCCATCCCAGTCTCTACCATACCCTGGCCCTCTTGCCCTCAACTTTGCCCATTAATATTTCTGCCATTACCCCCTCATTCTTAATTATATGACCAAAGTAAATAATTTCCCTTATTCTATAAATTTCAAGTATTTCTTTTGAAGTTTTAGCCAATATTAGTGTTTCTTCATTTGTTTCCTGTCAATATAACTTATTTTTAATATCCTCCGATAATCAAAGGCCTCTAAGGCCTTTTTCTCAAAATTAAGTTAATGTCCCTTTTAGTAGGTCTTCCAGAGCATTAAGTGCTGTATTTGCTTGGCCTGTTCTTGTTTTGATTTCTTCCACCCATCAACCAACACAGCTTATGTTACTTCCCAAATACAAAAAAAATTCCACTTGTTTAAGTTCCCTGTTACCTGCCAAAATTTTATTTTGGGATTTTTCCCAGTTGGGTAACAACCACTACTTTCGTCTTTTCCACTAATCTGCTAATCAGTTTTAGTAATAACTCTTCACTAGCCGTGATATGAGCAGTTTGATCTGCATAATTCATAGCGTATATCTTACAATACTTTCCCATTAACTTATATTCCTTCATTGTTATTTAGAACTTCTCTCTTTAAGAATTCTGAATATGCAGGGTATATTATGCACTATTGGAGATAGAAGCAGCCTTACCTTACTTCCTGTCTATCTTTGAACTAATTAGTTATTTCATTATTTATGAACAGTGCAGCCTCTGTTGCCAATAAATATATTATTTTAAATCTAAAATTTTCTTCTTGAATGCCTATTTTTTTTAATATCCCTATAAGTTATTGTGTTTTACAATATCCCCCCCCCCAAAAAAAAATAAAATCAACAAAACAAATTTCTTTAGACCTCTAAAGCCCTTTCACTTAAAATTCTCAAACCAAATACAGCTGCTCTAGATCCTTTTCCGTTTCAAAATCCATTTTGCTCTTCAAATAACTCACTTTTTATTTTAAACTTCATTCTACATAATATGATGTTTAATAAAACATTGCAGGTATAACATTAAGTTTAGTGTTGTAAACTGGGTGCACTCTAAGGCTCTTGGTCAAACATTTTATCCCATTCTTGTCCATTTGTTTTATAAATTCTGCTGGAAGCTGATCAACCCAAGAAGTCTTATAATTGTTCACTTTGCCTCAACTTCTTTTTTTCACGATTGGTTATTTGAACAGTATGTCCCTTTTGTTTCTTACCTCCACTTTATGCTTATCATTATGTATTTCTTCTAAGTACTCTGCCCATCTCTCTTTTCCTTCTTCTGCCTCAAACAGAATCTTATTGTCCTTTCTTTTAATAGCCCCACCCCATTTAAATCCACCTTCTGGTTCATTTGATTAAACTTTCTTCCCATTTCCCTGCAGCTGTCTCCTGTCATTATCTTCTATCTCCTTGCATTTATTGTTTAGAAAATCTTCTTTAACTTATCAGCAGTCCTTTGTTAATTTTTTTGTAATCCTCCGTCCTCTTAACGACTTCGACTATCCATTTTTTGTTCTTTTGTGATCCAGTCGCGTTTAACCTCATTCCCCCGTATGTCATATGAATTTTCCTGACTCACTGGTAGATTTCTACTTTTAATTTCTTTCTTCATCCTTTAAGCCTTCCTTTAGCAATGATGGATATCCGTTCTGAATTTTCCAAAATCTTAATTGATTTTGTCCATTTTTTTAAGTACAGAATTAGCCTTACTAAACTCATTACTCTGACGTGGTCTGACCCACAGTCTGACCCTGGATATGTCTTGGTTCAGGTTACTGAATTCCTAAATATTTTATGAATTAAAATATAATCTATTTGTTTCCAGACAGTGTTATTTACATTGTCCTGGGTTGAGATCCACGTATACAGTTTCTAGGGTATTGCTTAAAGCCTTAAACCATGTATTTGCCATTACCCTGTATCATCTTCTTCACTTACAAAGTCAATACATAGTTCTCTTCTTACTGTACATTGTAATATGAAGGTGGTATGTACCGATCTTCACATTTTAGGATTTCTTTACAACTTTATCTATTTTAGGAGTAAAAGTAATTAATAAGAGTTAGAAACGTTAAATTCTTACCTCCTGCCTATTGTCATCCTCCATGATGGGTGTAGGGGTGAGAGACAAATGACGTAGGTTATCTGCACTGGCAGGCTCCCATATGAATCCTAGAGAGTTATCAGGTGTTGGGTTCCTTAAAAAAAAAGTTTATACATTAGATGACAACAATAAGGATAAAGTCAGTTGAAAATCTTAAGGTGGAATAGCTTTGGCAATGCAATAAAAAGTTTTATTTATATATTTTCAAAACAAATAATTTAATGACAGGATGCAGTGGCCTAGTGTATACAGATCTTGCCTTCTGTCCTAAGGGTCGTTGATTCGAGGGCATGGCGTTCTCAGTCCATCCAGCAGTGAATGGGTTTCTAATTTTACTGATGGGGAAGTGGAGGTGGACGATTGCCTCCTTGTTTACCGAAAAAGGTTTAGTCTACAGTGAACTACACCTGTATGCCACTTAACGGGCGGAAAATTCCGAATCTTCAATACGTTCTACAGTACATGCAGCATGAACCAAGGATTGGTTCGAACCTCAGTGAATATTCAGGACCACCGACATGAAAGGACTGACTAGTATACGGTTCACTCACTCTTCAATCATGAAGAAAGATCATACTCCTGTCTCGATAGTTATTTGCCATAATTTCCACAGATAGTGCAGCTATTTCTCCTAGTTAACCTCACTAAGATAAGAAACTCATATTTTAAGCGAATTTGTCGAGAATACACATTGTTGTATTACTGGTAAAATTTGGCCTGTGAGCTTGCCACTTCCTTTTAATAATTATTACCTTAGGGTTTTAAATGATTAATGAGTAGTGTTAGTTTTATCGAGGTTCACAGTGCAAATGTTATTACTTTTCGTAATTAATTTTCGAAATCATGGGTTAACCATGATTACCTGATGGCAGCTGTTGGGTACAACTAGAGAGAGATTTCCCCTTGCCTCCTTATTCACCACCGCAAACCCAGGGCGCCAACCCAGAAAAGGAAGCAGAGACCAGAGGATGGTCACAGCTCTGGTGGCCCAGTTACCATCAGGAATGTTGAAGCAAAGTTTTACTGTTGGATGTCATTCTTAACGCCAGCCCTTAGGGTGGGAACAGACGCCATGGCAGGGCTGCAACTATCTTAGGTAATCAAAAAGACTTCCGTTGCTTAAGACAAATACACTGTATTTCCTCCCTGATGAAACAGACATCCTGTTTTCGTCAAACAAAACTGATTCGGGTCATGCGTAAATTGTTATTGGTTAGTTCTTTACTAAATACTGTCCAAATTATATTTTGCTTCTTTATTATAATATAATAATGCATTATTCATTTTTGGAAACGAAACTTGAAACTGTCTTTTAATGAATTTTGCCATGGAATGACAAGTGGTCAGAGCAGGAGCTATTTTCTTACGTTCTTATTCATCGCTTAACCTACGAAACTTAACAAACCCGTGATGTCTTGGTAGTAGTGTGGTTCAGTTTGAGCTTGATACACAGAGTATTCAGGTGGATTTACATTGGGGACCAGGAGATCATACGTAGGTACAAACAGAGTGCTACATTCTCACTCGTCGTAGACAGTTGCTTTGTCTAGTGTGCATGACCTTATTACGATTATATTGCACTGAGGTGCTGTTTAAATGGTGAACGGAAATAAAGTCACATGACTTGTACACATTGAAAAAAAAAATAAATAAATAAAAAAAAAAATATATATATATATATATATATATATATATATATATATATATATATATATATATATATATATATATATATATATATATACTGTATACTATTCAGAGATAGTGAAGAAAACAAATTAAGTGAGATAGTAGTGACTAGTAACGATGTTAGTAAGCAAATAGACAAACTAAAGCCTAATAAGTCACCTGGTCCCGATGAGATATTTGCCAGAGTATTAAAGGAATGTAAGGAAGAGCTTAGTATGCCCTTAGCAAAGTTGTTTAACATGTCATTAAAAACAGGTGTAGTACCAGAATCCTGGAGGATAGCGAATGTAATACCGATTTTCAAGAAGGGGATAGATCACTATCCTCTAACTACCGCCCAATCAGTCTAACATCAATAGTAGGCAAATTACTGGAAGCAATCATTTCAAACTCTATTCGAAATCACCTGGAGAAGCACCGATTGATCAATGGCTTCACAAGCGGACGTTCTTGCCTAACTAATCTATTAACATTCTTTTCATCAGTTTTCGAATAGGTGGACGAGGGGCACAATTATGATGTGGTATATCTCGACTTTAGCAAAGCCTTCGACAGAGTCCCCCACGAAAGACTAATTAGAAAGGTAGCCTTCGACAGAGTCCCCCACGAAAGACTAATTAGAAAGGTAGAAGCTCATGGCATCAAAGGTGACATCCTTAAATGGATTAGAGCGTGGCTACAGGGCAGGAAACAGCGAGTGAGCATTAACGGCACTAAGCCCCATTGGAGCAACGTCACAAGTGGAGTTCCCCAAGGCTCAGTACTTGGACCATTATTATTTATTATATACATCAACGACATAGATATCGGCATTGACAGCAACATAAGTAAATTTGCTGATGACACTAAAATAGGACGTGTTATCAAATCTGACGAGGACTCGGCAAAACTTCAGGAAGATCTAAACAAATTTTTCGAATGGTCTGAAAAATGGCAGATGAAATTCAACGTGGACAAATGTAAAGTACTCAGTATAGGAGATGTAAACAGGGAAACCAGATACCAGATGAACAACGATGCCATAGAGAAATCCGACTGCGAGAGAGATTTAGGAGTAATGATAAGTAGGAGCCTTAAGCCAAGTAAACAATGTGTTTTTGCTCATAACAAGGCTAATAAAGTACTTGGGTTCATACAAAGGAGTGTTAGTTACAAGACTAGCGAGGTCATCCTAAAACTGTATCTTGCTCTTGTGAGACCACACCTGGATTACGCAGTTCAGTTCTGGTCATTGTATTACAGAATGGATATAGAATCCTTGGAAGAATTCAGAGGAGAATGACAAGACTAATCCCGGGCATTAGGAACCTTGAGTATAGAGACAGGTTAAAGCATCTTAATTTGCACTCCCTTGAGAGACGTAGAGCGAGGGGCAACCTGATAGAGGTGTATAAGTGGAAGGCAGGGCTAAACAAATGGGACATTACAAAGGTGCTCAAACTATCCAACCAGGAGCGAACTCGTAACAATGGTTTTAAATTAGACAAATTTAGATTTAGGCGTGAAATAGGTAAACACTGGTTTGGAAACAGAGTAGTGGATGAATGGAACAAGTTACCAAATATCATCATTAACTCGAATACGCTGAATTGCTTCAAACATAGGTTGGATGCTCATATGAGCAATAGGGGTTGGGTGTAAACGGGACTGCCCAGTATGGGCAAATAGGCCCGCTGCAGTTTCCTCCATTCTTATGTTCTTGTATATATATATATATATATATATATATATATATATATATATATATATATATATATATATATATATATATATATATATATATCCCATTGCTTGGGAAAAAAGCTTAGACAGTGACTTTAAACACCTTCAAAGAGATCTAGATACCTTACATGAGTGGTCAGTAGACTGGCAAATGAATTTTAATACTGATAAATGCAAGGTACTACAGATAGGGAAGACGAATACAAACGTTAAGTATAAACTTGGTAACACGGAAATAGAAAACTCAGATTGTGAAAAAGATCTAGGTGTATTTGTTGGCAACGACTTGAAACCTAGAAAACAATGTATTAGCGTTCGCAACAAGGCAAACAGGATTCTTGGGTTCATATCTAGGAGTGTGAGTAACAGAACTGCTGACGTTATCTTGAAACTTTACCTAGCATTAGTGAGGCCACACATGGATTATGCGGTTCAATTCTGGTGTGCTTATTATAGAATGGACATAGATTCTTTGGAGAGAGTACAAAGAAGAATGACAAAAATGATCCATAATATTAGAAACCTTCCATATGAAGAAAGACTGAAAAGCTTAGGCTTGCATTCATTAGAGAGGCGTAGAGTTAGGGGAGATATGATAGAGGTGTTCAAGTGGGTAAGTGGGATTAACAAGGGTAAAATGGAAGATGTTCTGAAGCTCAGTAATAACGAAATAACTAGAACAAATGGCTTTAAATTAGATAAATTCCGATTCAGAAAGGATATAGGCAAGCACTGGTTTGGTAATAGAGTTGTGGATATGTGGAATAGGCTACCGAGTGCTATAGTAGGATCGGGGACGCTAGGGAGCTTCAAGACGAAGTTGGATAGACACATGGAAGTGCTGGGATGGGTGTGAAAGGGATCTGCCCTGTATGGGCCAGTCGGCCTCCTGCAGTATCCCACTTTCTTATGTTCTTATGTTCTTATGTAAATCACCTTGTGTCACAGAAAGACTTCTGGTTGAAGCTAGTTTGATTAAGGAATTAAAATCAATAAACCTTAGTGATGGTCAGTTCAAAACTGATAATATGTTACATAAATTTATTTGTCAGTGGCCCAAGGTTAAAAATGCTTTGAAAACCTTGGATCTAGATGTAGGATAGTTATTTAGTGGGTCCCTTATTTTTTACCTGACCTGAGTAGTCACGTCGCCTCCCTTCTCTTAAGCTCCTCTACGTGTGTGTTGGTGTTGGTGTCGGGATTAGTGGATGACATCATTATGACCTGACCTCATGTTTTATAAGGTCACCCTGTATATTTAAGCCTCTCTCTGTCCATGTAATCCAGTTGCCTCTGAAGATGTCTTGAATAAAGACGAAAGCGAAGGTGCTCCGGTGTTAGGTTAAGTTAGGTTAGGTTAGGTTTTTCATTGCCTTTTTTTCTGTGACTTTTTCCTGAATTCGTTTAAATATATTTGTCAGGATTATGGGTCCCGACTCACATTCCCCAACTGCCATATTGTTTGTCGACGAGTGCTCCTGACATTATTACTGTACCTGTGACTAATTTTATCTCTATTAGGCCACACCTTTATCTTTTCCCTTTACATACCAAAATAACTGCAATGCATGAAATCTATTTCCTTGTGTTTATGTACTTGCCACAGGTGCATACACCATCACTACAAGAATAAACCTGGGCTGGAATACGCAAAACTTTTAAGTGCTAGCAAACAGTTGTTAA